GTGTGTGTGTGTACAGTATGTGTATGTGTGTGGGTGTGTGTATGTGCATGTACACATGTATATTATATCCGTTACGTCCTTAAAGTGTTGAGTCCGAGCTCACTGACCAGTGGATCAGCGTACAGTACTCACCCCGGCCAGGACCAGAGTGTCTCCTGTGTCTGCGTCTGGCATGTCGCCCATGATCCGGAGGAGTGTCACCCATGCCGCCAAGGCAGCCTGCAGAGAAAACATCGACGATTATAACCTTTATCCCTTTCACTGCCAAGCACTGCTTAGTAGGTCTACTTAATACTTACTTACTTTTACTTTTACTTTTTCATCCTCTGTTGCCATTAAGCGTAGAGGGGAGATGCAGTTTTCAATGGTAGGCCAGCTCCGCAGCTCTTTCAGCTGTGATATCATTTTTTTTCAGGATTTCCCTGTAGGCCTACTTTATAATAATATGATATTAATATGTTTGGCTAAACTTGGGATTATACCTGGAGGTATCATCTTTGGCACAGAGATTAGATTGATGTGCAATGACTCGCCAGTGCTTAGGGTCGCTAGTGGATGTTTTACACTCTGTAATGCTTAGGCTAGTCCATAGCTTGATGTTATCGCTCCACATTGTTCTTCTTGGAATTATAGCACCATAAAATTCATGGAAAAAGCTTTATTTAAGTACCCTTTCAACGCCCGACAAAAATAAGAGACTATACATTGTAGAACTGAGTGTCTCATACTGAGTGTCCAATTTGCTTACATTGCTAGCTTGGGGCACTTTTGGGGGGTACCTACTTTGTGGGCGGGCATGTATGACATTACAGAAATCTTCAATTTTAACCATTTTCAAGAGGTATACTTTAATCATCTAAGACCAGACTGGTACATCAAGTAAAGGAGCCCATTGGTGGATTGGTGCTCTAATAGTTAATACAAACTGACCGCTCGACTCGCAACCTTGAAAACAAACACGTTTGTTTTTTAGGCCGCAAGTCAGGCGAGGACTTTGTGTCATAATGTTCGCTTTTCGCCCTTTTATCAATCTGGCTAGCTCCACCTACCAAAACAAACCAAACCGATCGTGCTAATGGGCACAGGGTATAAAGTAATTTTATCAGCACACCTTTAGTAAGCCCCTAACAATCAAATCTTCTTGAAATCTCTTATAAATTAATATGCTACTCTCACTTCCCTTTCTCACACTCTTTCCCCAATATCATTTCCATTTGTATGTCACCCTCTTTCTCTTCTCTTTTCTTACTTTATTCTTTCTTTCCCATTCTCCTTCCATAGAACTCTCTCTCTCTCTCTC